CCTGCTCCGAGCTCAAGCCTCCTGAACACAATTAAGCGTGACAGTCCACAAATAATAAAGAACTGGAGAATTAATTAAGGTCTAAACAAATTAATTACCAGTCCCCAATCGATTCTGATGCCAGCACACATGCTCCTGGGCTCGCCGTTTCTCCTAGCATCTCCACGTATAAATAGAAACGAGATTTCCCACATGACTATGATTCTCAACCAGGGGCACACGAGGCTCGGCGTCCAGCTTGCGTGAGTGAAGTGGCTGCTCTGAGCATCCTCCTGGCTTCCCGTGTGCTCATAGACGCAAGAGCGCGTACACACACGCACACACACACAGCGAGGCAGAAACACGGGGCAAGTGTGGAGGCAGACAGTGACTGTGGACCCTTCCTCCGCTCTCTCAGCAACAGGGCGGAGGGCTGGCCAAGCGGGCTGAGATGGCTCTGGGCTGGGTTTTCTCCTTTCAGTACAACTCTTAGCAAATCTTGGGACCTCTGGTAGCATCGTGGGTTATGAGTTGGGCCACTAACTGCCAGGTCAGTAATTCGAACTCACTGGCAGCCCCGTGGGAGGAAAACGAGGCTTTCTGATCTCCGAGATTTACCGTCTCAGAAACCTGAAGGCGCAGTTCCGCTCTGAGTCGGAAGCTTCGGCGGCAATGGGTTCTTAGCAAACTGGAGTGTGTTTATTCTTCCGCTCCATGGGGCTGGGCCATCTTCCCTCAAGACCCTCTCAGCTGTGGCAGCGAGGGCTGAGGTCGACGGTGGGCCTGCTGGGCGAGCATGGATGGAGGCAGCAGGCCCTATGCATTGGGCTCTGCAAACTGAGGGAGCTGTGAGGGGCATCCCAGCAGGAAGGGGCAGAAGTGGGGTACCGCCCTCCCCCCCAATTCCAGATGAAGAAGTTGCAGGTAGAGAGTGAGGACAGCAAGGGTCCTAGGTGGGTAGAGCCCAGTGAAGACAAGACTCCTTGCCCCCTGGAGCAGGAGACCCTGGGAGGAGCTGGGCAGCAGAGAGGGGGTGGGACAGAACCACTGACTCCTGGGAGCCTCCGTATTCCCCGGAGCTTGAGTTTCCAGACTGCCTAGGAGAGGGGAGTTAGAAGGTGGCTTCTGAGCACAGGTCATAAAGTCCTGTGACACTGAACATACCTACACACACACACACACACACACACACACACACACACCAGCAGCCAGGGGTGTATGATCATCAATAGGATCATCAACCTGTGCCCATGTGTACTCATGGTGAGTCCTGTCTCCTGTTCAGACGAGCCCAGGATGGCAAAAGGAGTCCTGCTGGCACCTTTAAGGAGAGGCATGGGACCACTAACCAAAAGGCCAGCTGTTCGAATACCTGAGCTGCTCCACAGAAGAAAGACGAGACAGGCAGTTTGTCATAGCCATGCAATGGCCTAAGTGCTACTCAGTCCTACAGAGACGCCGCAAACTAAAACCGGCTCAACTGCAGCAGGGAAGGGGCAAAGGACTCTCCAGAAGAGAGAGTGAGACCTGAGCTCACTTCGGTAGCTTTATCATAGGACTGGCCACCTACAGAGAGCAAGGCCCTGCCAGCACACAGTGGGGCCTGGAGCTATGGTAGAGGAAGGCCAAGGGCAAGGGCTGGTCAATGGCTTGGCCAGGGGGCTTGTGAGCTCCTGGTGAGTGAGGGGCGCTTCTCTTTCTCTGGTAAACCACAGTCACATTAACCAGGGGAGTCAGCAGGGGCAGCTGGGCCCGGCATCCGCACATGGGGGAATGGTAGGCTGAAATGGGGCAGGAGGATGAGGTGTGGATGGTAGGTAGGCATACAGCTGGGCCTCGGGCAGGGTCCCGGATGCTCAGGGCTGGGCCACACTGTGCAGCCTGTGCCCCTGGTCTCTGTAAAGGTGGCTGGTGAGTGGGGGCAACCTGAAGGTCACTTCCTCTCCCAAAAGGGCAGTTGTCACAGGCCTGGAATCCAAAGAGCACCACGTCAGAAAGTCTCAGGTGGTGATGGCCAAAAAGGTGAACGCCCAAAGCAGGGACCCTCCCCAAAGAACCTGGCAGAGATTAAAACAAGACCACCCTCAAGGTCACACCAGCACGATGGCGGCAGAGCAGGCCGGGACTGGGCCCCTGGCGGAGTTCTTATCGGAGGTTGGGCTCTGGGGACAGATTCCATCTGCCCAAGTGCCAGATCCGGTCCAGGCCAGTGGGTGGCTGGGAGCTGCCCACTTTTCAGGCTGCTCAAGCCCCATTTGACCCTAGAGCCCCAAATGGCGAGGCACCCACTGTTGGCATCAGGGCTGGCTCAATTAGGCCCCTTAACAAAGTCAGATCTAAAGAGTTAGCCATTAATGGCCCACGCCAGAAATAGCCGAGAGTTCATTAAAAGTGTGGAGTTGCTATAGCAATTATCTGGGTCAGCGGAGGCACAGCCAGGTGGTTGGTCCTGGGAGTTCATTAGCCTCTGGGCCATCAAGGAGGTGGGGCAGCCCAGTAATGATCTCTCACCTTCTCGAGGGGGTTTCTCAGGGGCTTCAAAGCCCTTTCTCTCAATGGAACCTCATCTAATGTGGACTCATCTCACCCTCCCGACTGCTGTGTACCAGCGGAAGGTGGTACGGTGCCACACCTACAGATGGGGAAGCTGAGCCCTGAAGGTGAAAAGCTGGCTCATGACCCTGAGGTTGGGTCTGCCTCTCAACACTTCAGCCAAGCCTCAGCACCAGGGAGGTCCCGGGAGCCCACACCCATCCTGAGCCCAGCTCCATCTCTGTTTTCTGGTCCCTGATGGGGCACTCAGGTGCTGTCATTCGAGCACTGGTTTATACTTCTCCTTTTTAAATTCTGTCTTTAGTAAAGGCATACCCGACCAGGCATACTCTCACTCAACGCCCACGCGAGCAGCTGGACGGTGCTGGGAGCATTCTTCCCATCAGGCCACTGTGCGCACCATTGCCGCCCGGAACTTCAGCTCACGGCCTCCCCCGTGAACTGGAGCTCCCTGGTCCATGCGATTGCGTCCAGATAAGACTTTAAAGGAGAGAAGCGCTCCAGGCAAGCCTTCTCTATTAATTGTGTTAAACCGTGGTTCCCTTTAAAGATGGCTCCAGGGAAAACATTTCTCTTTTGAATTCTAAGCATGCACTGCCTGCAGCTGCTTTCAAGGATGATTTCTTTTTATTAAAAAAAAAACAAACAAAAACCAACAACTGTTCCCAGGCCTTTCTCCCTAAACAGGGTGCAGGCTGTTAAAGGGCACAGGCCTACAGCAACCATCTTGAATGACCAATCCTAATCTCAACCAGAGCAGGAGAGATTGCCTCCCCGTGCAGGGAGTGCTCACACCATGGGCTGGCCTCGGGGGCCAGCCTACCAAGCCTGAGGGGCCGCAGTGCCCCACAAAGCCCACAGAGACCTGACATGCCAGGCGGCTGGTCCTGCCTATGTGCGTGCCGCAAAGCCCTTGGCAGTGCGGCGCGGTCCCTGCGCTCTGCTCAGAGGGAGGGTGTCCATGGCTTACAGCGAAACCCAAAGAGAGTCTTATGACAACAGAGCATCACAACATTTTGAACATGTGACAGAGTGATAGATGTGCTTTTTTTGAGGGGGGGTGTTTCACCATTGAGTAATGACACACACCCCACCCAGGACCCTCAAGAACCGGCACAGGCGGAGTTCACGCTTTCCGGTTAAGTGCTCCCCCATCCGGGATTCACGCCATCAGAAGCTCTTGGAGATGCCGCCCACCGTGGCCAGCGGGAGGAAAGACGCCTCGGACTCGCCCATCCTGCGATGGCCCCGCACGGAGCATAGGCCTTAAACTGGCCAGGCAGCCCGCCGGTAACGTGTCAACCGTGGCCACCTTCTAGATGTGCCTTGGGATCAATGTGCTAGACAGCAAGATCCGGCAGAGGGCCGCTCACTACTGGAATCGTGAAGTCAGTCGTGTGGTGTGTGAGCCGTATCTCTGTGTCCCTGTCAGAACCAGGCTGTGACATGAGCTCCACGGGCGGGGAGCCACAGGCTCTGCTGAAGGGACTCAGGTTTGCTGCCCATGTATATCCTGGAAGGCAAGGCTCCGGCTCTGTTCAAGCTTTCTGGAACATTTCCCACAGCCGAGTTCCCAGGGCCCCCTGCTTTCCAGCCACACACCCCGTGCGGCCCCGAACCCCAACCGGACCCACAGCCATCAGGTCCATCCCAACGCATTGCAAAAATTATAGATATATGTGTGTGTGTATATATTTATTGATTTCACCCATTTAATAATTTTAATAAAACGTATATTTATAGCATGTATTTATAAATATTTAAATATAACATATGCATTCTATTATATGTTTATGTATGTACAGTTGTGTGTATATAGGCACACACACACACACACACAAACTCAGTGCCATCAAGGCAATCATGACTCATAAGAACCCAAGAAGAAAAAGTAGAACTGCCCCGTGTGTTTCTGAAACCCTAATTCGCTATGGGAATAGAAAGCTGGGGGGAGCAGGGAGGGAGGGGAAAAATGAGGAGCTGATGCCAGGGGCTTGGGTGGAGAGGGGATGTTTTGATGAGGGCAATGAATGTTCAAATGAATGTACAAGTGTGCTTTACACAATTGATGTATGTATGGATTGTGATGAGTTGTATGAGCCCCTAATAAAACGATTAAAAAAAAAAAGAAAGCCTTGTCTTTCTCCCACAAACTGGCCGGTGGTTTTGAAAGTTGACCTTGCAGGTGGTTGGAAGCACAGCTCATTACCCACTCTGTCACCAGGGCTCCTTGGGGTGAGGGTGGGGCTGCAGTCATGAACGCCTGTGCTGAAAGCAGGCGTGGGCATAGAAGCTGCTCAGCAGGGCCCCCGCTGCCCTTTCTCTCCACACATTTTGCTCCAACTACCCAAGCCCAGGGAGATCAGGCCTTGGGGGAGGCGTGAAGAATGGTCGGGGTCCCAGGAGCCCTGCGGCCACACCTGCACAAGGAGCACACACACCCAGGTTCCCCTCCCGGCGAGTCTTACCTACGGCAGGGAACGGCACAAACCTCTGGACCAGGAGGCGAGTGGCGGGGGTGAACTTGTTGGCTTTCTGCACCAGGACATTAAGGCCCACCTAGGAAAGAAAACACAGACCAAGTGTGTGGTGTGGCGGTGGCCTGTGGGCGGAAGGGCTCATGGAGAGGGCGGTCATCTTCCCCTGAATTTGCCCTACCCCCCCCC